ATGTGTAATTAATTTTTACACTATTATCAAAAATTGAGTAACGGACTTTCGTCGAACGACAGTCGAGATTGACAGACCTTAGTGTGTCCCTAGCACGTATGTGTACACGAGCATTGATCGGCAGTACGACAATTTATCACCACATCGATCACTAACTTAACTGTGTGTACAGGTAAATAGATCACAAAACATTTCCTATTGACAATGTTTGAGTCGGTTTAAGTACAGGATAGTTTAAAGTATTACTGGATTTTTGACGCTTCTGGCATTTGGCATGGTGTGCGAAGCAAGAATGATAGTAGGCTCGAAAGTCATCCGTTGTCTCCATGTTGGGCTGGTGTGATTTGGTCCATGTTTGAGCATTGGGGATCATCATCTCTCTTGCTGGATACATACATAACGAATCACTAGGGATCTAAGGTACATCTAACTATAATATATTATTCAATACCATCGAATAAATCTGAGGAGTTATGTTTTATTCCAAAACATTCATGGCGTTTCACCCACACAAAGATTGCCGACCTGCCACAAACATGTAATTATTCAAGTGACTGTTTTTGAAACGGCCGCATAACCGTGAGCCATGAGCATACAAGATGACGTTAAGCAGTGTAGGTCAGTTACTGTAATTGGATTCAACCAGTTAAAACCAGCGCACGATTTGGCCTTTTTGAGGTGTGTAATTGCAGGTTTATGAGTTTTGTAAGTCACATCTTATCGTGAGGCGCAACAACCTTGAACAATTTAGAGGCGTGGCAACATTATGTATTGAGAAAGGTACTTAATCGTTAATCGAAAATTAATATTGAGTTAGGGCCCGGATTCGGCAAAGGAGGTATATACAGTGAAACTTGGTTAAGTGGGACCAGGATAAGTGAGAAACCTCCATAACTGGAACTCATGCTGAGGTCCCTACACTTTGGCACTGAGTTACCTCTGTTAGTGGGACGAGGTAAACTCTATATCTGGGATTTGTTCTTTCGATTTATCATCATAGTTACCTCTATAACTGAGACAGTGAGTAAATTGTATATGCAGAAACCTCTGTAACTGAGATAACATTGTGTTTTTACTCATTCTTATTCTACCCACAAATTCCATACGTAATACCAAGTCCACCTCGATTAATGGAACCCTCTGTAAATGAGACAGATATTTATTTATACCTGTATATCTGAGACACTGGGTAAGTGGAATACCTCTATAAGTGAAACGGCATTGCAGGTCCCTTGGTGTCTCACTTAACCAGGTTTCACTGTATCAGATATTATCTATCGATTTATTTTTTCAACTCAAATAATACAGAATCTATATTTGTGTCCTAAATTACAAAATGGCAATAAATGGTTACGCGTCATATATATCTAGTACAAAAACTATGATTTAAAATGTTTGTTGTTTTTATTGTTTTCTATTCCTAGAACTTTCTTTGTCTTTTCTGGGCAAAACACATACGTGGGAGATGTGTTGCGCCGCATGTTGCATAGCGTAGTTAAGATGTAGTATAGCGAAATTACCTCTATATGATCCTCTTTAAAAATCAGAACAAGTATTGAAATTGCAAGCCACTGGAAAGCTACTTGACTACCAATGTAGTGATGATAGAAAACAAGTTAACCTAGGTCATGATTGTATCAATGTAATTGTTTTTCATGTACGAAATACAAACAAATATAAAAAAATTATTATTAAAAAAACAAAATACCCGACTGCACACTAAAAAAAGAGTAAAACAAGCCCCACAATAATATTGATCAATCAAATGCTAAAAACTAATTATGTAATACCGTTTAAACAATACCTATATTAAAATACACTACAATATGTGTTCGTAATCGATAGTTAAATAAACAGAAACTTATTTTGAATACAAATTTACTGAATATAATTTATAAATGTTGATGGAAAGCATCGCAGGCGGGGACCACCTTGACCGCCACCAACGAAAATTCTGCTAAATGGTGCACAACCGAAATGACTATAAATAAGCCTCTGTTGGTCCCCGCCTGCGATGCATTCCATCAACATTTATAAATTATATTCAGTAAATTTGTATTCAAAATAAGTTTCTGTTTATTTAACTATCGATTACGAACACATATTGTAGTGTATTTTAATATAGGTATTGTTTAAACGGTATTACATAATTAGTTTTTAGCATTTGATTGATCAATATTATTGTGGGGCTTGTTTTACTCTTTTTTTAGTGTGCAGTCGGGTATTTTGTTTTTTTAATAATAATTTTTTTATTTATAACTTTTTAGCTGTTTTTATTTCGATATATACAAATAGGGATATATCGAATAAAATCGCTATTTAGAGACGACCGTCAACGACGTGTGCCCTCATGCGTGTGCCCGCAATCGGGCTGTATACTCGAGCATATCCCCCTCCGCACCGCGCCGCGCGCCGCATGCCAGGCCACGCCCTATCTTTTTGCTTGCTAACGCATGAGTTGCTTTGCGTTGACGCAGAATTAACATGTTCCCGTGGGAATTTTGAGAAAAAACGTATCCTATATTAATTACTCCCGTGATTGAAATGAATCTAATGATACCGCATACATATTTTTTTAAAGGGAAATTTAGAAAAAATATTATTATGTCTTTATCCCGTGGGACTTTTAGGATAAAATGTATCCTATGACACTCCCGTAATCAAGACAAATCTAACGATACCTCATACATCAAAATCCATCAAGCCGTTTAGGCTACAGGTGGTCACAAAGGAAAAGACATACATACATACTTACATACACTCGAAAAACATTACCCTCCTTCTTTGGCAGTCGGGTAAAAATTAATATACTTACGCATAGTCGAGAAGTCGAGGACATAATTACATAATTATAATTTAATTTCGACTGGTCGACCATCACGCTTATGAGGTTAGTAATCAATCACATGACATCATAGATACCTAAACATTCGCTAGCTAGAAATCTTTTTTATTTAGGGGGGGGGGGGGCATTCATTGACTGATCGCCCTGCCTGCCTGACGGCCTCGTTGGCCAAGTGGTCGCAAGTGTGACTGCCGGGAAAATGTACTCGGATTCGATTCCCGGGTCGGGCAAAGTAAGACTAAAAGCCACCCCGTTCCCTTGGTAACCCCTTAAGTTGTCCGCAGCTCCGGTTGTCGGAATTCGATGGAAACCCGAACCATGGAAACCATTGGCCATGAGATTTTGATATTGTTGTTAATAGGAAGATCACCAACCAAATTTCTATTGGACCATCTTTAGAATCCGTGGTGGATTACTTTATTACGTGTGCTAGCTTTTACCCGCGGCTTCGCTCGCGTCACAAAAGGACAAAAAGTAGCCTACGTGACATCATATACCAATACACACAGCGCCATCTATGCCAATACTTTTGTTTTCCCTCGGAAATATCAATTTTATTCCGGGATAAAAAGTACCCTATTATTTAATATGGCCTTCTTACTTTACGTCTGCAAAAAATCAAAGCAATCGGTTTAGTAGTTACGGCGTGAAAGCAGAACAAACAAACAAACTCACTTTCCGATTTATAATATTAGTAAGGATGAATTGATAACCTATGTATGAACCATCTCGTATGCCCGCAAATGGGTAAGCTTTAATACCTTTGTAGGTAATTCTATACTCAATATGATCAAAATATAGGGAGTTCCATAGAGACACGTTGGCAATCGAGAATCTTTCACACAAAGGTCCATTATTAGAACACTTGTGCTTTAAGAAATGAATCTGTATATATCATAGACCTATATCATCCCCTTTTCATACATACATAATTATTATTATTTACAACGTAACTAGTACAACTGGTTTTTTAATTCTCTTTATTATAAAAAGGAGTTGACCTTAAGGTTCATCTTGCATGTTTTAAAAGCCTATGAACAGATATAAAAGCCCTTTAACTTTCAACAGAATGAAGGGAGAGTACATACCTACATTGTTCTTCATATATCTTCGTATATCTACTACAGTAAATTAGGTACATAAATTTAATTTATTTTGAAGTAGGGTATTCGTTTCATTTTTGTTAGCCATGTCCTTATTTCTTTATTATGTTGTATTATGTAGTCTCTTTGAAATAACTATAGTAGGTACCTACCTGTCTATTCTAATAAATAATCCTTATAAAATAGTTTAAAAATATCGTTATTGTAGGTACCTACCTCGTACATAATAACGCTCTTTATCCCTAACCTATAAGATCTTTGAAATAAAAATATTTACTTAGTAGTTTAGTTATAGTCCAATATTAGACTACAAGTTCAAATTTTAATAATACCACCTAAATTTCGTCATTTATCTTAATTTTCTTATTTACTACGTTAGTACTATAAGGGGTCATCCATAAATTACGTCACACGAATTTCATGATTTTTATACCCCTCCCCCCGTCCTTATCACAGCTAGTCACATTTGTGAGACGCCCCCCCCCTAGTGTGACGTCACAATTTGCAGAATTACAGTATAGAAACTATTGTTTTTTCACTTAAATTACTTTAAAAAAATATTAATGTCAAATCAAACAATTAACTTAATAAAAAACATTAATACATTTATGTTTCGTATTTTAACACAGATTAACTATTAGTTTTTGAAATGTGACATCACAAAGTTTTGGATCCCTCCCTCCCCCTTGTCACACAATGTCACACTTCGTCGACCCCCTCCCTCCCCCTTAAGTTGTGACGTAATTTATGGATGGCCCCTAAGTACTATCGTTTTTAACAAATAATTTAGGCGGATCATAACCTAACTACGTTAGAAGTCCCCAAATAGCCACCGGGGGGTTCGTTGCCATGGTAACGAAGTGCACCGCGCTCCATAGACCTACACTCCAATATAGAGTAGAGGTCATTCACCCCGCGCTGCACCCAAAGAAACCAAATTCTTTATTTTTTTTACTATTTTACTTTAACCCTGCTTTACTTGTTCATTGTTATAAGACTATTAATATGTTAATGGGTGTTAGAATAAGTTCTACAAGTGGTTGTATACATACCTTCAAATAGTTTCGGTAGGTATTTAGTCATCTTGGTGTTATTCCTAGAGCCTATTTCACTAACACCATACAAAAGTAATTTAAAGTTCACAAGGTAGTCACACACTTTTATCACTGAACCAACTATATTATAAAACTTTTTAACAGTATATAGAAGCTTTTTTTACTCATATAAACAATATTTATCTACTATTAGAATGTTTTGAATGCTTATAGCTCGGAAAATTAACAATAACAATGAAAGCGACATCTACTATAAAACTCAAGAACTATTAGCAGTCGCATTGTATGAAGTAAGTAGTTCGTGTATCACAATCTAGATGACTCTACTGTCTATTATTATAATGACCAATTGTGAATAAAACTATAAATAAATAAAATGATTCCATAAAAATTCATATTGTTTATTTAAGATTATGTATGTACTCACATTCATAATGTAAAATAATCATAATCTTAAATGATGACATAAGTTTATAAATACAATCTTTGTATAAAATATCCCAGGTAACCGTATTACTGGTCTTAGTAGTACCTACTTCAGCTACGAGATGGCATCTTATCATGTTTTCTAAATAATTATGTAGATGGCCCTGTTCACTATTACTATTTTGTTGTTATTTTCAGGTAAAATGAAATATATCGAATCTACCAGAACATTTTTACGGACCTCTGTACACTGATTACTAGAGGTGGCATGCATTAACGTGCGCTGGATTTCAACGATATTTTAAATATTTTTAGTAATTTGTTGTACATTGTTGCACCCTCGTGCATTACACTCCATTTGCTTTTGCTATAATTTATGCGTGCGTGATGATTATAATTGTATGTCATTCGCATTTCTAAGCCCTATTTTGAATACTTCATATTTTTTTGTGAAATGTCTATGAGTGCTAATTATAAGTATTATAGGTATTTTTCATAAAGATGCAATTATTGCATAAATAAATTTGTCGTATGTCCATTAGTTTAGTTCGACAGTATATTATTTTTGTGGGTGTACTATAACCATAATGAAATAGTGTTTTAATTTATTTATTTTGTGCTATTTGTAGCATTTCAATGTTGGTCCAAGCTGTTTGTTAACCATACTTCTATTAACTCGTCGAGTACCGGTTTTGTAGACACAATTATAGAACAATAGGTTGGGGTCACCGGTGACCGCAACCTATTGTTCTATAATTTATTGTTCTATATTGTTCTACCTCTATAATTGTGTCTTTAATGACGGTATTCATAGACTAAATTAAATTTTACAATGGCATTATACAGTAGTTTGTAGTATCGCATATGGCGTGGCACCGGACAACAGTCCAGGGCTCCATTGAACTTGAACCTTGTCTATATGCGGTTTCCAGTTTAGATGGCTGTCCAAAATCAATCCTAGGTATTTTTCATGTCCACCTTTTTTATTGGTTAATTTATTTTATTGTAAGTCGTGAATTGTGTATTTTTTTTAGCCACCGTAACAACTATGTTGTAATTTACAAAATATTTAATGCATTTTGAACAACTTTTAACATGAATATTTTTCTTTTAAGCCTATGATGATCAGGAGCTATAGTGTGTAGTAGGTCGTAGGTACTTTGTAACAAACCTAGAAGCCTAGAAGCTATGTGGACAAAGCAATTAGGTTTCCGATGACATAATAAGGAGGAAAACCAGTGTTGGAACTGTTATACTTAGTACCTAAGTACTTAAGTAGTTCTTCAGTTGGGTAGGTCAGCATAACATATTGTGGGAAATATCAAATTTTCAAGTTCAAGAAGTGGGGTAATATATTATCCTACTTTTTTGGGTAGAAACATTTACCCTGCCAAAATGTGGCCTTGATTTTCTTGCAGGAGCTTGAGATACCAATGTTACAATAATTATGGCATGGCTAGGAATAAATCAATTAAACATTAAGTAGGTACATATATGTAGTATAACCTGTCGGCCCATACTAACCGTATTGTAGTCATAATTATAGACTAGTAGCTAGTAGCTGCTACCCGCGACTTCGTCCGCGATGAATATGATTCCGGTTTTATCCAATTGGAGAATTTAATCTGGATCATTAGTATCCTATCACGTAAGTCCGCCCCATAGATTAATATTTCTGTGGCCAGCAAACCCTGCCTGTAAATACCTAGGTATACTAAATTTCATCAAAATTCGTTCAGTAGTTTCAGCGCTATTGACGGCCATACATCCAAAAAAAGAAAGTTTCACATTTATAATATTATTGTGATAGTGCCGTTAGTATACGTATACCTGCACTAAAGATTTTTTAATCATCACATTATGAAAGCTATCGGTGCTGCCGATGGACACCCGCAACACAAGGAGGAAGTTACTTGTTTGTTGCCGACTTTTTGGTAGTTGGAAATTTGAGGATCCTAAGCCTCACGTCATATTCGCTTAAGTACTATATATCCGTTTATTGAAATGAACAAAACATTATGACGTCACAAGCGCTCAGTCGTCAAACATTGCGCTTTTTTGACCGCAACTGAAAAAGCTACTATTTGCGTACTTCAATGACGAATGGCGATTTTAATGGTCATGATCATTTTCTTTCGTGAACACGCTACCATGTGATCATTCCCAGATTTTTTGTTTATTAAGATAAAACCGCAGAACAGATTGTTTTTGGAGTATATTTGGGTCCATAAATATAATTGTTGACGCAATAAGAATTGCGTAGGTACACCTACACAGCGATCTAGGTTTTTACGTAGTCATTAAGGTGTTTGCTTTGGATACGACAGATATAACTCAAGTACGTACGAAGCTTAATCGATTTCGTCCTATTACATTTCCTGATATACAACGAACAAGGCTGTCACATAACAACGGGATTACAATATATAAAATTGGTTGTAAATGTACCTACAACGTAATGTAACATCAGTTACCTAGCTAACATTATCTCAATCGGACACATTTGTTACATAAAAAAAAATATTCGCTTTCAACGGTCAAACAGGAAAACATTGAAAAAGGAGAAAAATAATTAGCAAATATCTAATAATCGTTCAAAAACGTCGGTTGTTACCTACCAAGGAGTGTATTTATATAATATTATTATAAATTATAAAGAGGAAAGATTTGTACCTATTTTTGTATGTTTGTAATGAATAGGCTCAAAAAGTACTGGGCCGATTTAAACAATTCTTTCACCAATAGAATGCTACATTCTTCCAATTTGACATAGGCTACATTTCATTTTGAAAAAAAATAATCCTTGGTAAAATTTGAACAATGTAACCGAAGGTGTTGAAAAATGAGTCTTAAAATGTCTTTCGTCGAATGCGCTGCCGAAACTATTAGCGATAGAACAAAATAATGTACAACAATATTAAAGAACATCATAATGTCTACAAAAAACTCTGCGGTAGCATATGTCCAACTATTGTAGTTATGTCACTACAACAATCCAAATTTCCAAAAATAAATAATTGTCTACCCCGTGCGAAGCAGGGACGAGCTGCTAGTATTCGATATTTCTGTTTAGGACCTGAGTTCTAAGATCCAAGCCTCCAAATGTATTAAAACGAGTGCCTCCAGTCCAATAACTTAATCAAAATCAATCCATCAGCCCATCTTTATACGTAATAGATGTATATGTATAGGTATTGGATAAAACATTCATAGTACCGACGCGACGGTTTCCTGAAACCCTTCCCCCTCGTTGAAAATGATGAATGTGGCAGCGGGAACTAGAAACGCACTTAGATAATACTATACATAGTTATAACTAAGTAGTAAGTATGTAGCAAGCTAACGTAGGGATTGGGGTTTGTAAAGTAAGTTGTAATTCACAGTTGTGAAAATTAAACAGCGTGGGTGGCAGTCATACATAATGATCTGAATCAATACATACTTTAAAAGGAAAATAAAAGCATCCATATATATATTTGTAGCAAATTATCATTATATTTTCGTTTGCAATGATAAAAAAACAATGAAAAATCAGAATAATAACATTATTATAGAACTTTAAAAATTACACCTCTGTGTTAGTCTCTGAAAAAGAGAGAAGACCTTTTGCTCGGCAGTAGGACTCATCCAACGAAGCATTTATTTATTTTAAGTTAGTCTTTACAAATCTTAAGACGCTATTGTTTAAGCCTTTACGGATACCGGACATAAATTACATAGTGTTGAGGGCACGCTCCACTACGCGGCGAGTGCGAAACGTTATCTCATTTCCTTTACAGAATGAAGGCCTAAGATACAGATCTACCGACAAATAATTAGCTCATTGATGTTAATTGAGTTCTAATATTTTGTAATTAAGTTTATTTTCTAACAATACACAATTTGTAACTTGCTTTAACTTATACAGGGTCACTCATTGCACTACCTTTTGTTTTTAAATGTAAGGAATTTCGTTTTAGTTTAACGCGTTTTTTGATTGTTTGTTTAATTTTGCAAGGTCTGTTGTTTTTTTTTTTATATTTTACGTAAAAGATTTTGAATTATTGTTAAAGTGTTGCTATGTCGCAAGTAGGTACATTTCATAATAGATACGTTTTACACTATACCAAAGAAAGTATTTGTAAATGTTGTCCTACACTCATTGTTAGCTAGTCAGTGCTGTGTGTCCTTTAGATAATGATATAAACGCGTGTTCAAGTGAACAACGAAGTACATAACTATTATTTACTAACTAGTTACATATTAGATTGAAAAAATGGCACAGCTATAAATGGAGACTTCTTTGGCTTCCTGTAATTACTTATTAGCGAATACATAACAGGTACTTGTTTTACAATGTATTTTTAATCGAACTGAATGATATTTAGACACACGAACTTGTGATTGCATCAGTTTACTATTTCCTTGGTTCTGCTTGCACAAGGACATCCAACCGCTAGATAATTCGATGAATTTTGTAGTTGTAGCGTTCATAAGAAAATACAAAGGTGGCTTATTTGTGTGGGTACAAAAACAAGCAATACAGAGTAGTATCTATTTTAAGTTTTACCTGACTTTAATGATAATTTATATTGCTTATAAATTAAACAATGTCTAAAATAAAATTCAATACCACGGCAGATTTAAGGTTAATCGATAGGCCCCCTTTTCAAAATCGGGTCACTAGGGCTGACGCTAGAGAGGGCCAAAATGTCATTTGT